ATCAATCCAAAGCAAGCATTAAGCAAAGAAACAAACACAACAATGAATGAAACAACAAATATATATATCATTGAAAACGTAAGGATTACAATAGAGTATGTTGGCTACATCTAACCCCACAAAATGGGTGAAACCACTCAACAAAGAGGGCAAATACAAAATAGAGATGAAAGGAGGGTGAAGAACCGAAGGAAAGATCCGCACACGGACGATCCCAAGCCCTGGGAATCCCTTCCGCAGCTCCTGGAGGCGCCCAATGTGAGAATGAGGGAGAAACCCTCGAAAATGGCTTCAAATACGAGCCTGGGAGGTCAGATTAGGGTTTCGCGCCCGGCGCATAAGTCTTCGCGCCCGGCTCAGAGTCTTCTGAGCACTTTCTGCCTCGTTATAAGCCCGGCGCAATTACTTTTACGCCCGGCGCAGTGTCTTCCAGAGGCTTTCAAGCATTCTCTGCCTTAGAGCAAGCCCGGCGCAATTCTCTATTAAGCCCGGCGCAATTCGTTCCAGAGAGTTTTGAGGTACTCTCTGCCTCGATCACGCCCGGCGTGGTGGAGTCTCGCGCCCGGCGCATGTATGACTTCCAGAAGTTTACTGCTCTGTTCTTCTCAAGCCCGGCACGACGTCATCTTGCGCCCGGCGCAGCCACTCTGCTCTGCTCCTTGGCTCCTTATGTTTCCAATCCCAAAGATCTTCAATCCTCAAATCTCTAGCTCAATACCTGCACAAAAAATGAGGTGTATTAAGGTATTGTTAGCTGAATTTGGGTTAGTTATATCTGCACGCAAAATGAACCAAAAAGAGAACAATTATATTGCAATGGTTCAAAGGATGAGTGGAATTTGTTCAATAAGTCTCATCCAAAAAGAGGTAAAATTGAGACTTAACAAAGTGCCTGGAGTGGATGTTTATTTTGTAGGTTACCTTATAATAGCATATTTTGTTATATATAATTAACTGGATTTTTTTGGTTGCTTGCTTAGCAACTTGTGTTGTAAATATGTTTATTATACTATTTTAGTATATATTTTAGTAGTGTGTCGTGTTGTTCCGCAGTGTGACGGCCAAGTCGAGTCGTTACACTTGTCATTGCATATGTTATAAGTAGATTAAGCAAATACACTCATAATCAAAATAGTGATCATTAGAATGCACTTCTGTGCCTTCTAAAGTATTTAAAGGGTACTATAGACTAGAGTTCACATTTCACTAAATTTCTAATTGTTTTAGAAGGGTTTTGTGATTCAAATTAAATTTCAGATAATGATAAAGTAAGCTTTACCAATGAGTATGTATTTACTTTAGGAGGTGGTGTTATTTCTTGAAAATCAACAAAACAAACTTGTATAGAAAGATATTAACACTTAAGCATAATATTTTTTCCTTGTCCAAAAATTTATTTATCTCGTTCCTTTTTCTCTATTAATTGTCATTAGTAGGAGATTATTGGTATAATGACTTTTATTTTTTTTCCCATTGAATTATAATAACCTTTAATTTTATGATTATTGGCAGCGTTTATTTTATTTTAATTTTTTTATATGTGGTTTTAATAGTGATTCAAAAACATTCAGAATATTATTTTTGATAGCATTTATTAATCTTTAATAGAATGTCAATAGTCTAATATTTTACTTTATAAAATGGTACAAATATCACACTTTATAGAAAAAAGAAATTATTCTCAACATCATCTTTTCTCTTTATAATTTTCTGGACATTATTTGTGAAGTTTCAACATTTTTTAATTCGAGAACATAAATTTGAACACGTCATTATGTTAACAAATCGATTTCGATTATTAAATTACATTAAAGTTCTTCCAAAAATTTAGTTTCAATGCAATAATTCTTGCCGGGACACAATTGATATTGTCTTATAATTCTTTCAGCAATCCTCTTTCTAAGTTAAATATCCCTATATATCGAATGAATGAAGAGTAATATAATTAATATTGCTGCATGTGATTTCTGTTTCAATTGTTGTTACTTGTGTAGTCAATTGTAGCAAAGTTAGTCAATTGTAGCAAAAGGTAAGTTACAAGCCCCCTTTCATTTATTGATCTTTACAATGCTTTTCTCTAGCCCAGGATATTAAAAAGGTTAATATTTTAATTTAGTGCTTTATAATATTTTAAAATTTTAATTTAGTCTCATTTTAATTTTGGATTCAATTTAGTTTCACTTGTCAAAAATATTAACAATGTTTATTATCCGTTTAAATTTCTCAAACACTGTTAAAGAGTCGTGATAATCATACTCGTGATTCTCAATCACGCCCATGATTCATACGGTGTGAATCATATAAAAAAAATCTATTAAGAGTTGTGAGAATCACGCCCGTGATTCTGAATTACATGGACACTCTTAAACAATGGTTGAAAAATTTAGACAGAAGGCAAACATTGCTAGCTTTTTTAGTAGGTGAAACTAAATCGAATCCAAAAATTAAAATAAAACTAAATTAAAACTTTAAAATATTATAAAAGACCAAATTAAAACTTTAACCTATTAAAAATGATATTAAAAATGATACTTTGAGAAGAAGAAAGATATAGACATGTGAAATTTGTTCCTATAGGAGTACTATTCCTCTCTGTTCAGGTGTGGACACTGCTAATTTTCAAAGTTCAAGCTTGTTTTCAACTATCCTATTTCTATAAAATGAAATTAGAAAATTTTGAAAAACATGTCTCAAATTAGAAAACGTAACCATGCAATTAATTGAGTTATACTTATAACAGATACCCTACATACAGATTTACTAGATTAATTTCCTTAATTACCAATATGCATTAATTGATACAATCTCTGCAATTTAATTTATTCTATAACTTGCTCATTAGTTTGAAAATATGAGTGTGTCATATATCTGTAAGACTGGAATCATCTCTGTGTTGACATCTTATTTCTCATCCTTGAGACCAAAATATTTACATACCACCTTCATCACTATAAACAAAAAAAAAATTCACTTATTTGTTTGATTTTATTTATTAGTTGTTAATTGTAATGATTTTATTTTAAAAATATATTTTTATTTAATAAATAATTTTGTAGATAAAGGATAATAAGTGATTAAAATTAATTAGATAAAATTTTGTCTCTCTTATAAAGATTGGAGAAGATAAATAGACATATAAATATCTTTCTCTTTTAAATATTAATTAAATGATTAAAGAAATATATTGGATTAGAATTT